GAATTGATACATGAGAATGCATTCCAAAACTGTCTTTTCGTAATAAGATTTTGAATGGAATGGCAGAGGAAAGGTGGTTTTTCCACACATGTGGATGAAATAATTTATTTGCCTTTGGTCGTCATCAAAAGTAAAAAGCAACACAAGTCAATGGAGAATGAAACCATGAAGTCATTTATGGAAAAGTGAGTGAGAGCTAAAAGCTCATGCTCATAAGCGACCTTGTCTTCAAAGGCAACCATCAAGTTAGTGACAGAAAGCACATTTTTTACATTCACGTGTGATCTTGTTGTCAGAGGTAGAATCCTTCCTTTCGACAAGATAAGTCAAGAAAATTCATATAAACCCGATCACTAATAGCGGCAGTCACTACAACATCTAACGACTCTACATCATGAGAAAAGATTGTCAACTTTGACTCTTCAATGATAAAAAAAAAGTATGTGTTAGTCATGTCAATGCCACGATGCCACCAAAACCAGTTGATAAGCATCTCAATTGGAAAAAAAAGGGAGGTAATGCCATCACGAGTTCTTTATCTTTGAACCAAGGTACATGATAAAATGGTTTTCATCGCTTTACTCCTCTTCACATTCTTATTAATAAAATAGTGAGGGAGGGAAGGGGAGGCAAGTTGTTGGGTGTAATTTTATCATATAATTTGAAATCATAAAGGACATTAACAATGATGTTTACTGATCTCCCATGCGAATTGGAATCGGATATACTCTCTAGGTTTCAAATAACTATGAAGACACCACTTTTTCTCATTCAACAAATAAACAAATATCTCATTTATCTAATTCGGACAATCGATCTCAAATTGTGTCACTTCGACATACTAAATTATATGAATGACACTTTCAATTGTGTTTGATTCCATTTGTGAAAGTTCAGTCGAATCTATAAATGTCACTGATTTAATTCGTCGTTTTTTGGTGATTTTCGCAATCGTATCTGCTCGGTTTTATTGTAAGAAGTGGAGAAGTCATGATTCCGATTGAACAGCGTAACATTTCTCACATTCCCACTTCTTTTCACCGTGTTTACGGTAATAATGCTTATTGATTCCGGTGAGGTCACCGAGAACACGTGACTGGTCATTCGTGTGGACGCACGTGGGCTCCGGACAAAGATACACTTTCCTCTTCACTTCTTTGGTTGACTTCTGCCTTAAGCTTCGAGAAAAAAAAAACACTTACACGAACAAATATTAAATTACAAGTTGACTAATTGTCTAACCAAAATTGTGCTTAATTAGGCTCCTAAATCGATAAATCTTAATTTATAAAGTTTGGGCTTATTTTGGAAAGAAATAAAAACATAGGGCTCTATGTACTGGGCTTTTACATCAATCAATTTTTGGACCTTTGACTCACTCTTTTCGTTCTTCGTTTCCAAATCAAACAAAGAGGAAGTAAACAAATTAATCGGATTTTCTCCACGAGACGAATCCACCATAATAGGTTACGTAATCTCACTTTGTGCCAGTGTAACTCCTC